AGCTCACGCAAAAGCGGTGTTATATGGGAGCGACGAGTCCCTCCCAACACCGCCCGCGCGGCCGCATTCTGGACTAGCTGGAGCCTCCGGATGCTCCTCAAGGGGAGCCCCATGTAGAGAGCATTGCAGTAGTCCAGGCGGGAGGTGACGAGAGCCTGAGTGACTGTGCACAAGGCGTCCCGGTCCAGAAAAGGCCGCACTGTGATGGCAAACCTTTTAGAGACCGAGTGCCCAAATTGCAACCCAAAACCCACTTATGCATCGTCGGGTGCCGGGTGGGTGTGGCCCACTGGGTGGGTGTGGCTGTGGTGGTAACGGCAGACTGGGTGGGACTAAAAAGTTCAATCAATCAATTCCAACTTTGCAAGATCTTCCCCCCCCCCGCAAGAAGTTGAAATTGATTGATTGAACCTTTTTTTTTTTTGTACACGGCGTTGGAGGCCTACAGCGAAAAGGTTTTATAAAACCCAGCTGAAGGCCTAGGACTGGGCACGCGACGGTGCGCGTGCCCACAGAGAGGGCTCTGAGTGCCGCCTCTGGCACCCGTGCCATAGGTTCACCACCACTGGACTAAGTCATAAGTCCTGCAAGCTTATGATATCAAAGACACACCCATATAGTTTTGGTAGCAATAGGAAAGTGATTCGCAGTTCCTGAGGGGAAGAAGATTTTTTTTCAACTTCTCAACTTAAGATATAGGACCCCTGGTACATTGGATAACTAAGATTTTGCTCCCTGAGCACTTTTGGGTATCTCTTATAAATGTTTGGTTCACAAAAATAACCTGTAATTTAACCTACATTTAGTTTTATGGAAATTTTCAGTTTTTGCAATGTACACTCTTTAGTACTAGTTGGATATGCTGCACACATGAAAGAAACATATGAAAACATGGAACTGTTGTTGAAGAACATGCAGTTCATCAAATACAACTGGGATATCTGTAGTGATCTAAAAGTAATGGTTCTGCTGCTTGGAATTTAGCTCAGATATACCAAGTATTGTTGTTATATGTGTGAATGAGATGTTACATGTTGAAAGAGAAAGCCTTGCAAGAGATTCATTTTACATTAAAAAGAAATGGCCATGCTAAGCCGACAAAGATATTTTTGCCTCTGCTTCACATAAAACTTGGACTAATGAACAATTTTATGAAAGCAATGAACAAGGAAGGTGAAGGTTTTCATTATTTGAGACAGATGTTTCCAAGAATAACTGATGCCAAGATTAAGGAAGGTATTTTTGTTTATTCACACATCAGATATGTCATCAATGACAAGCAGTTTGAAGGTGTGTTAGTGGGACCAGAGGAAATCATTGAAGATTCGTTTTCTGCATTCACACTTGGACTTCTTTCCCAAAAATCTAGATTCAGTCAGTGATGAACATGGTGAAAGTTTCACCCCAACATTGCCACAATGGAAAAATGGTATCAGGGCAACTGGAATCTGTCAGTGCTGGCTGACTATTGTTGGACACTGCAGTGAGATGCATCAGACACTTGAGTACCAATGAAAATCAGCAGCACAACACTTCTGGCCCTGTTGAACTCATGCAGCATGTTATATAAGCATATTTAAGTCACAAGTAACATCTTGAAATATGATAATTTAGAAACAAGTCAGATTCATCAACATATACAAGAACAATTCCCATTTATGCAATAAAACATTTTTTTAGCAAGAAGTAGAAAATTTCCCCCATCCAAATATGTGGCTTTCCGCCACTGTATTTCTGCCTGCAGATTGGAGGTACTGCACTTGGAGATCTGCTATTTTTCTGCAGTACAGATTGTGGAGGAAAAAAAGAAACAAAGTGATATGGATGGTGGGAAAGAGAAAGTTTTGACTAAGGGAAGAAGATAACGTGCATTATGACTTCCTTTCTTTACAAACCCAAACAACAGCTATGCCCACAACAGAGAGGCCTACAAAACTTGTACAGAAGGCAGCAATAACTATCAAAATACTCTGCTATGATAATCTTCCCTCTTCCTTCTAATAGGCATGTGAACTTCACACACATAATGCTATATATCCAATTGATCTGTCCAGTTAGCAATGCTTTGTTTCATTCCCTTTTTTTACATATTTATTTTGGATTCATTCTTATTATCCTTACCTGTGAGTATATGTGATTTATTAGATCTCATGACTTATTTAAACTGCCAGAGGCAGAAAGAGTTAATTTTCTGTCCAGCTGTGTGTTGCCTCCAAGAAGGGACAACAGTTTTGTTTCTTGGCTGCATCAAATCTTAGAGAAATGCTTCTGATATTACATAATACATCATATCAGAAAATTCGGAAACCTGCTGCTAGCTACATAACAGCCTCAGATTTGCTGACTTACAAGAAAGTGAAGTATTCAAAATCCTGAGAGACTCAGCAAATATTTTAAAAAGCACAGCAGCAGTAAATCTAATTTCTAAAGAAAGGAAGGGAAAGGCTCTGTAAAAGGAATTACACTGTGATGACATCAGCAGGCCCAATTCCACCTCATAACACATATTTGCATCAATAATATTCAAGAACAGCCTAACTTCCAGTCCCCTAGAATGCAGTTTAATGGTTTAAGTGCTTGAGCTCTGATTCAGAGAAATCTCCAGTCTATATATCGAATCTGAAATTTACCAAATGAGTCATTCTATGGAGATTTAGCCATTGAAATCCTGTTATCATTTCCTGTCTCCAAAGTTTAGTAAAGCTAAATGACAGAAGGCCTTCGTATAATGGGGAAGAAAAATGTCTTTTATGATTCATGCTGTCTCTGAAACAAATGCAAACATGGTTTGCAGCAAAATGTTATAGTATTATAAGAACATAGAAAGAATCCTGCTGGATCCGATAAGTTTCTCACACAAGAAAGCCGGATGCATTTTGAAAGCTCACATGGGTGGGACTGAATGGCTTCTCCATTGCCCTTCCCTGGCTGCTGGTAGATAAAATACACTGAGAGGATTCCAGGGAGATTAAATATGGAACATTGGCTTTTAATTCCCTAAATTCAGTACCATTTTAAAACTGTGTATTTTGGTGGCCATCAGTATTTGTGATGGCAGTAAGTTCCGCAGTTTAACTCTGCAATATGTAGTATTCCTCATTTCAGAAACTCCTTAAAGTTTGCTTCAGTTGTTGATTTCAAGTTCTATTATGATTGGGGGGGGAGAGAAACTGTTTTCCATATCATACATGATTTCATGCATGGTTTCATTGTCAAGTGTCACTATGGCAAAGTGCTTGATATAGTGGTCTGAACTGGGAAGACCAAGTTTGAAGCCACCATGTGAGCCAGCTGATTTCAAGCCAGATGTCTCTTAGCCCAATATACCATGCAAGGTTATTTTGGAGGAAAGGGGAGAGATATCTATGTATATTGCCTGGAATTTCCAAAAGTAAAAGCAGAATATAACTGAAACAATCAATAATACTTCTGCTTTTCCCTTATCCATCTTTATTTCAAATTAAAAACCGCAGTTTGCCTTCAAGCAGTCCTGTTCAGGTTTCTGTCATTTTCATTTACTCATTGTCCATTTTTTTGTTTCTTCTTCCTAACAGCCAGTATTTCTTGGCTACTGATCATTTTCATGATCATTATGAGGTCCTTAAATTTATTTTCTTCTTGCTCGCTCTTTGTTTCCCATAAATATAGTATATCTCTTCCTTCATGCAT